TTTCGTGAGTAAAAACCTCACTTCTTCGGGATACCCCGAAGTGAGGTTTTTACTCACGAAAGCTTATGCCCAAATAAATCTGTTAGTCTTTAAGGTGCCACCAGACTCCTTGTTGTTTTTAACTGCTGTACAGTAACTCCCCACTTAACGTCTTCACGCTTAACGTTGTTTCAATCTTATGTCCCTGCTCAATTACAGAACATGCTCCATTTAAAGTTGTGCAATGCTTCGCTATAATGTCGTTTGGCTGACTGCTTTGTCCACAGCTGGCAGCCCCCATCAGCTCCTCTATGCCCCACCACAGTGCCTCCCGCTGGCAGAACCCGCAGATCAGCGCCTTTCCCATCCTCCCCCCCGCCTCCTGCCCGTGGCAATCAGCTGGCTTGCAGCATTCTGGAGGGAGGGGGGAGGAGCAAGGACTTGGCACACAGGCTCCCCCTCCCTCCCCTGCCTCCCAAACGCCGCAAACCAGGTGATTGCCACGGGCAGGAGCCTGCGCACTGAGTCCTTGCTACTCCCCCCTCCCTCCTGCCCCCTGAATGTCGCAAGCCAGCTGATTGCCACGGGCAGGAGGGAGGAGCAAAGACACGGCATGCGGAGTAAAGGGGGAAGGGGGGGGAAAGAAGAGGCGGGTTATGGGTGGGGGTTTGGGGGAGACGGGGGCGTGGGTGGGCCGAGGGTTGAGCCCCCGCCCCTGGTGTTTGCAGAGTAGGGGAAGCTGCCGCTGCGCAATGTGCTTCTCCTAGCCTACAGCACCTTCAGCCTCCTTGCCTGCCTTATTGTCTCTAGTGCCAGTGGGCTGTGCCTGTGTGGGGTAAGACGGGGGCTCCTCCCAAGTATAGTACTGTACTGTATGGCCAAAAAAAAAATTGCCCTGGAACCTAACCCCTCAACCCCTCCCCCATTTACATTCATTCTTATGGGGAAATTGGATTCGCTTAACATCGTTTCACTTAGTCACATTTTTCAGGAATGTAACTACAATGTTAAGTGAGGAGTTACTGTACATGGCTAGGAGCTTTTTTTCTCCCTCACAAATATGACTCCCCTCCCCTGCCTACCCACAGAACGGTCAGTCATGCAAGGGCTGTGAAGGGTTACCCAGCTAGACATGAAGCTCCTCCTCTCTGGTTTTGATGCTGCCGCTCTCCCAGAGTTGTGGTGAAGACTTTCCTACTCCCCATCCATTCCTGAGGGAGATGAGACTCCCAGCTTCTTTCCCCAGTTACCAAAAGGGGAATGAGGGAGCAGAGCAGCTGAGGAAAAAATGGAAGCCCAGAATCTTAAGGGGTGTGTTTAGGATGGACATAATTTGTTTGGGTTCTATGGGGGGGAGCAAGTTAATTCATTGTAAGGAGAGAGAGAGAGTGTGTGTATGTATATTAACTGGAAATTGGAGAACTGGTTGGTGCTCCTTTCCCTTGCTGTGGGTCCCAAGTAGAATGGGAAGAGCCCACTAGGCTCAGGGCCCTTGCCCCATCAACCAACCACTCTTACTCCTTGTTTAGATTGGGGATTTGCCCCAGTTACAGCTATTGGTGTAGCTGCATTGCTGCAATCCTTGGTGTAGATAAGCAAAGCCACTACGTACACCAGTGATGGTGTGAAGGAATTGAAGTACTGGATTGATGGGTAAATTGGATAAGAGGAACAGAAATGAGAAAATTTATGCCACAGTAATGTGAAAGGGGAAAACCTGTTAAGTGCTGGAATAGTGGTGGATGGAAGATAATGGAGGGAAAAAAGGGAGTTTGAGTGCTGCAGTAGCCATAGAATGGGGGAGGATAGGGTGTTGTCCTGACAAAATCCTGAAACAATTGTCCTAAACCTTGCAGTGAGAACAAGCTGTAATGTTGCATGTCCATTTTGCAAAACACATTACTTTAAAAGAGGGTCAGCCAATTCCTTATATATGTCTAATATTTGGACAACTAAATGTATTTTGTACTATCAAATTTGATCATTATGTACAGTTTCTGTCTGAATGTAATGGGCTTATTATAACTTATGTCAGATTGTAAAGATGTTGGCTAACTTTTCTCTTTAATGATATTAAGGGTACAAAGAATTTTGCTCAGCAAAAAAAAAAAATCAATTTGGATGTTTATATCCTATAGTGATGGTTGCTATGAAAGAAGGGGAAGGGGAAAGAAGGAATGAATAAACAGTGCATAGTTTTAAATTGTTAAAGTAGTCATGATTTTGTGCAGAGTGTTTGTATGCTTCCTACTACTAGAGCGCTTGTAAGAAAATGTAGAATGCCGAAACAGCTATTTGAAAGAGACATCTAGTTCAGCGTTTTTCTAAGTTAGAGTCACGATCCAGTACTGAATTGTGGCATGTCAGGCACTGGGTTGCTCTGGTCAGCACCACCGACTGGGATGTTAAAAGTCCCCTCAGTGGTGCTGCCCAGCTAAGGCAGGCTAGTGCCTGCCTGTTCCGACACCGCGCTGCGCCCCGGAAGTGGCCGGCAGCGGGTCTGGCTTCTAGGCTGGGGGGCCATGGGGCTCTGCGCGCTGCCCCTGCCCCGAGCACTGGCTCCACATTACCATTGGCCAGGAACTGGCCAATGGGAACTGAGGGGGGTGGTGCCTGCAGACAAAAGTTGCGCGGAGCCACTTGCACGCCTCCAGCTAGGACCTGCTGCTGGCTGCTTCCAGGGTGCAGTGCAGTCCACGGTGCCAGGACAGGCAGGAAGCCTGCCTCTGCACCCCAGCTGCATCATTGACTGGGAGCTGCCAGAGGTAAGTTCGCACCCCAACCCTGTGCCCCAATCCCACGCCCCAGCCCTGAGCCCCCACAAACCTGGAACCCCTTTCTGCACCAAACCCCTCATCCCCGGCCCCACTCCAGAACCTGCACCCCCAGCCCAGAGCCCTGACCCCCTCCTGCACCCCAACCCCTGCCCCAGCCCAGAGCCCCCTCCCACTCCCTGAACCCCTCATTTCTAGCCCTACACCACAGCCTCACTCCAACCCTCTTCCCCAGCCCTGAGCCCTTCCCACACCCCAAGCCCCTCATCCCCAGCTACATTGGGTCGCGAGCATCAACAATTTTCTACAAACTGTGGGTTGGGACCCCAAAGTGGGTCACGACCCCTTTTTAATGGGGTCACCAGGGCTGGCGTTAGACTTGCTGTGGTGGTTTATTCCCACACATTTATGCTGACGTAGGCTGTAGTGTAGACATAGCCTTAGGTAGTGGCAATACTCAGTTTAAGGTTGTAGTGGAGATAAGCTCTTCGATGTTGCAGCATTTTCAAGACAAGTTTGTGTGCCTGAGAGCAGGTCACTGTTTTTTTTTGTGTTCAATGGGGAAGTGAATTTGGTAGGTCCTAATTGTAACCTTACCTGGTGCCTTCCGTACTTTGATTTACAAAAGAATGCCCAGTGATAGATGTATGGCTGCAAGGACTTATTCAGGAATTTCCTTGCTTTCTGTAAATCTGATTTGCTATGATGCTGGGCTCTTCCTAAGTTAGGGGGAAAGTTCTCTGGGTGCTGTCCTGTTTAGAGAGTGCTCAAGCACTGCTGAAAGCTTTACTGGCTGGGTGTGCACAATCTCTCCCCCCTCTGTTCAGCGTGTTCCCAGGGCAGCCTCCAGCCCTGCTCCATCTCTGTCGCCTCCTTACTTAACTCCGGCGGCCCTGCTCCACTGCCCAGTACCAGGCCCGGCTTTGGCTCCCTTGGCTCAGGCTGAAGGCGGAGCGAGCTCCCTGCCTCGGTCCGTGTGAGCAGGAGGGACCGACAGGGCAGATGTGGCTCTATCGCGTCCACATTCCGCCCGAGCGCAAAGCGCCCCAGCCCTCGCACGTGCCCTACGGCCGGTCCCACAGCGCAGGGACAGACTGGCTGGACCCTTGTCCGCGCGCGCGCGCCCGCCCAGGGGGAGGGAGACGCTCCCCTGTGCCGCTCACCCCGCTTCACGCTCCCCGCCCCTCCCACTTGGCCTCGCGCCGAGCCGGTTGTATTCTCCAGACTCTTGTTGTTGTTCGGAATGTCTGCAGCTGCCTAGGAGGCGGGGCTAGGGGCGGGGGCGGCCAATCAGGAGGCGCCTGTGTGTCAGTTACATTATATAGTGGCCGCAAGGGCGAGTGAGTCTGAGAAGCGGCGGCGGGGACGACGGGGGG